TAGCACATTAATAATCCTGACTCTGCTCCCACTTATTTATGGTAGAGCTGTTACTTAATCTCTCTGATTCCTCATCTGTAAAGGGTGGTGACTACCTCATGGTGTCACTGGGGACTTAAGCTGTAAAGGCGCTCAGAAGTGTCTGGCACGCCCCCTCGCCCTTCACACAATGCACATTTGTGGGGAACCTGGTGCTAAACCATTTGTAGACGACCTGCTTCTGGGTCGGGGTTTCGTATGTAGCAGAGCAGCTCCCTCGCTGCGATCTACTGAAAGTCAGCCCTGGACACAAGGGTTTGTAAAAAGAACAACAAAAAGAAGTGCCTGGCACATTGCGTATTCTGTATGAGTGCTTATTACAGAAACAGAGAAGTCACAAAGGGACACATTTAGGGGGGGAAATCGGGGTGTTTCTGGACACGGGCTGAGTGCCGGAGCCTGTGGGACATTGCCATCAGGTAGCTGAAAACAGACTTGCCACTTTGGAGCAAGGTCTGGACAGAGTTTTCCTCCAGACAAATGGGTCAAATTGCTTCGCAACACTGGGCAAACGAGAAGGGAACCAGGAAGGTAACACGGGGAGCCCAGCATCTCCCAGGAGGCTGAGCCCAACCTTGGGGACCCCGACTAGGAGGGGCCGTGTGAAAGTGTGAGGGTAGGAGTGCATCAAAGGAGCCGGGGAAGCCCAGGAGACACTTCAGAGAAACTCATGCTTCACACTTGAAGTAACAGGGAAGTAAAAAGGGAAGGGGAGAACCTAGAGAGGGGAGGCTGGGCACAGAAGTAGATTCAGGAGGAAGTCATGGGTGACACGCTCACCAGGTGGCGCCAGAGACCTGTCTGTCCTACCAAGTGTCTCAGAGCCAGCGCCAGCCTTGCTGGAGCGCCATTCACACCTGCCAGCCAGCCAGGTGGCACTCCTTCAGCCACTCGATCAGCCTCCCATACTGCCAAGCTCTGGGCCTACCCGTGTCCCTGCATCTACATCGCTGCCTCTCCATCCCAAACTTCCCCTCACTTGCTGGACCGAGTGTGGCGACTGCTTTCTAAATGGGCACTCTGCATCCCTCCCCGGCACCCACAAACCCATGACTCCTGACAGCAATTGCTTCAAAGTATGTCTCCTCGCTGCCCACCAGCCCACGGTATTGGGGTTCAAGTGCCCCCTCCAGCATTCACGTTGCCACGCTGGGCAAATTCCTTACCCTTTCTCTGTGCCTCATTTCCTCATCTGTTAAATGGAGATAAATGACTTACCTCATAGAGCCAAAATGAGGATGAAATGAGTTTATAGTTTCTATCTTTCCTTTAGTAGAGTGCTTGGCATAGTAAAATGTTTGGGATAAAAATTCAAGTCCTTATCGTCGCTTGCCCACTTTTCCGGCCTTGTCTGAAAGCACTCCCTTCATTCTCGCTGCCCATCTCCTTTCCTCTGCGACAGCGTTTACTCCCCGCCTCCTCTCTGACGCCATCACTCACCCATCTGCTGGGAGCTGTCATCTCTGATTAGCCATCTCAGATCAGAGCCCTCTCCTACGAATTCGTTTCAGATCTTCGCATATTGTGCTGCTAAGACCACTTAAAATTACGAAACACACAAAAACCCTGCAGCTGCCTAATGTTGCCCCTTTCCTCACTCCCAGCACGCCAACCATGGGGCAGAAAGCTGTCTCATTCAGGCTGGAGGCCAGCTAGCAGGAATTTGGAAAGAGCTTGCACAAGGCGATCTGGAAAGGCGATCAGCAAAGATGCGAGATCATGGAAACGTCAGCTCAGTTCCCACCTACCATTCCCACATCTTCCCAGCTTGCTATCAGTCCCTCTCCTTGCACGGGGAGACCTCCCTCAGCTATTTGGGCAAGCCCCCGAGAATCTTTGGTCCTTGTCCTGGAGCCCCTCATGCTGGTCCCTTGGGGAGCAGGGCTTCCCAATGAGGACAGTCCTGACCGGACCTAAGAGAAAGGTTTGCAGGGCCGGGACTGGGGTCACACATTGAAGCCAATCAGTACAACCACTGTTCCCATGATTCCACTGTTCCATAATCATCGAACCCTATGATAGAGCAAGCTTCTTGAAGACAGGGCCCTGTCTTCTATCTACATCCCTACATCCCAACTTAGCAGAACTTGTTGAAAAACAAAAAGCAAGCAAGGAAACTCAACAAAAGATGTCAACTGAATACTTCCTATGGAAACACTAAGGGCCCAGTACACGAATTCGTGCACCATGAAAGGAACTGTGGGCTGTGAGGCTGCTGTAGGCACAGGGGCGGGACTTGGCTCATCCTTCGTGCCCCCACCCGGCCCCTCCCACTGCAGCCCTCCTCGCTCCCCCCTCCCCCCCACCCCCCGCCGGTCCTGTCTGCCGGTAGTCCCGCTTCCGCTGCCACCACTCACATGCACTGACAGTGCTGCTCTGCTCACACATGCTGAAGGTGTGAAGCGATTGGGACCAGTGCCAGCAGCAAATGTGAGCGGGGCCGGTGCCATCAGTGGGTGCGAGTGGCAGCTGCTGCCCTGATCGCCCCTCAGGAGCAGGGGGAGGTGGAGAAGCCCTGAGGGGCGATCAAGGCTGCAGCTGCAGCTTGCACCCACTGATGGTGCCGAGCAATCGGGGCCAGTGCCGGGTGCCATGAGTGGGTGTAAGTGGTGGCTCCAATGCTGGCAGTGGGTGCGAGTGGGACTGGTGCCAGCAGCAGGTGCGAGTGCCGGGTGAGACCACAGCGTGCGAGAGCAAAGAATTTTCAGTAACCGCCAGAGGCTCGCCCCGATGACAGTGACCGGAGCCCTGCCTTGGTCTGGCGCCCCTGCTCACCTGCTTCATCATCCTGCTGCGGCCGATGCCTGCCATGTTCTGCATATGCCCCCTGGTGGTCAACACACATTATAGCAACTGGTTGGTTGTTCCGCCGTTTGGTCTATTTGCATACTAGCCCTTTATTATATAGGATTTTGGGGGAGCAGATGGCATGAGATGAAGAAACAAAAAGCGGCGGCAGTGGGTCAGGACTGCAAGAGCTGGGCTGCCTGGGAATTAACCCCTCCCCTCCTGCCCCCAGCACCAGCTGGGCAGGAGACCAGCTCCTGTGGGAGGCGTTATCCCAACAGGACCGAACTCAGACAGTCTCCTGCAACCACTACAGCGTCCAAAGGGTGGGAGAGTGTAGAGCTGGGGCTTGGACTAAGAAAGTGAATCGAAGGACAGACTGGCTCAAACTGAAGCCTCAGAGTTCAGGGAACATGGCAGGGGCTCTACCAAAGGCTGATCAGGAAATGCATGTACTATGTAAACTGCCTAATGTGGCAGGGCGGGAGGTGAGCCACAGGGCTGGGCCTCTCCCCAGTCTCAGCCTTTTCTAGAGGATGAGCCAGGCTCTTCTCACAGCAGTGGGTCTCAGGTCTGGGTACGTGAAACTGTTTACAGGAAACGAGACTAAGGTGTCTGCAAAGGTACAATGTTAGAAACACACCTAACATTTGATAGTTGACATTTTTTAATTTTTCCAAACTATAATAAAAAACATCTTGAGTACATGAACATAAGGAATGGAACTACAGTCTGCCTTAAGATGCTGTAACTAGCCTCCTTCCCAAACTCAACTCAAACATGAAATTCCTTCTGAAATGTCACGTGTCCTTTGAGTCAGCTGACTCCTGGCGACCTGTGAACCATGTCCACTGTCCTATCCACAAAACTGCTCAGCTCCTGGACTCAGGCCAATGGCTTCTTCCTTGGAGTCAATCCAGCTCACACCTGGACCCTCTCTCCCATTTTATTCTTCCTAGAACTCGGCTTTCTCTTCCAAAGCCTTGCCTGTCATCAGCCTGTAGTCCTCCACATTTATTCCTTTCTAAGACTTTGAAATCCTAGCCCACTAACATAAACTTTGATAAAGTACCTCTAGTTTTCAAAATCTTCTCTAACGCTCAAGGACGAGAACACAAAGGGAACTACCCGAGGGCACTGAGTGCCACACTTAGGTTGGCCAAAAAGCCCACTCAGGGGTTTCCTCCCCATTAAAATGAAGGACTTTGAACAACAGTAAGTTTTCAATCCTGCTGCACATTGCCATCTCTGGAGCTTTTGGAGTGTTGCCCAGGCCCCAATTTGCTGAGAATTCATAACCATAGAATACAGAAATAATTGCATTGTTTTTACAAGCTCAGTAGTCCTATATGTAAGCAGGGTTGAAAAATCACTTTCAAAATCTTCACTACCATCTCCACCTTCTACCTTGTTTCTTCCAGCATTACTTATGGGAGAATAAGCCATTTGCTTTAAATTCCCAATTCAGTGCTTATAACAATATTCAGGTTTCTTACACGTCCCATTACACTAAGCTCGATGTCTTCCTTTTAGTCTAAGTCCCAAATTCCAGAGCCTCCAAGTCCCAGCTCCCTGAACTATATACGGCCCCTCCCCTTAGAGCAAGACAAGGGGTTAGACTTGTGGAGGTGCTTTTGTGACCGAACTTAAATTGCTGGAATGCTCTGAATTGGCATATTAATAAACTACACCGGGCCCTGTCAATCTATAATCCGAAGCCAAAGCAGCAAATTATAAAAGCAGGCACCAGTGCCTTCTCAGGCAGATGCTCAGTGCCCCGAGTCCCCAGTCTGCTTCCTCCCATCCCTTCCCATTTGGTGGTGTTCCAGAGACAACCCACACCCACGCGGCGCTGCAGAAAACCACAATGCCTGCCCGTCTTGAGCTTTAACCTCATGATGAAGGCACACAGAAGCCCAAGGGTTTGCTTTGTTCATCTAAACTGGCGAAAGTCATGAACCTAAAGGTTATTCTGGACTCACTTTACAATGGGCAGATCCATTTCCTTTTAGCACCACAGCAACCGCCTACGGGTTTGTATAAAAACCAAGATACAACCCAACTACAGGATGACTCTACCTTTTCCCCACCTCAAAAATACTCAAAATTCTCAGATAATTCTACCATGTTCCTTTGGAAGCACCACAGAAACAGACGTTAAAATAACACAAAACTTGAATAATACTTTCTTTATTTACAAGTTAGAATCAACAGACAAAGACAATCCAGGGGACCAAATGGGGAGATGATAGAAACCCCAAGGCCCCAAATGGAGCAGAAGAAAAAGGGAAAACAGAGTAGAAAAATGTCAACGTAAAAAATGAGCTCCCCCTTCTCCCTTCCCCACGGAGGCCAAAGGGACCATGGCCCCACACGCCTCAGCCTTACCTAGCTTAAATAAATTAGAACCAACCTCACAACCGGGCCTTTACAAGTGAACAGGGCCGCTATGGCCTCAGGCAACCCCTACTGGAGTCTTTGCCCACTCCCACCGTCCGGTCCCAATCATTTTGAATGGGGACCCTGCCCAAGAGGTCACTTTCAATGGGGCTGGGAACACAACCATATTTTGTCCATTATGTCCCTCCTTCGGCAAATGTCCCCACATCCCTCCCCCCTGCAGAGCCAGCTCTCCTACAGTGGGGGGAGTGGGTGAGATGAGGAAGTGTCACAGCACGGGGGGAAGGGATGGGGCAGGGTGGTCTAAGGGTCCGGTCCTGCGGAGCCTCCTGCCCCATCTGGCCGGGCCCTTAGCCTGAGTCTGAATCACTGGTGTCTGAAGAGGATGACGATGAAGAGGAGGAGCTGGAGTCTGAGCTGGAGCTGGAAGCGCTGAGGCGTGACACTGCTACTTGCTGAGCAGATGACGACTCTGTTTTCTCACTCGCTGCAAAACAAAGTTAAAGGTTAAAGATGTGTAAGTTCGATCTCCATTTGTGAAGAAAGGGCAGCCAAGTTGGCAGAATGCAGTGGACTTGTAAGAAGAGTACAGGTACTCACCTTTCTTGGGGGGCTTTTTGGTGGAATTGAGCTGCCCACTGACATCTTGTAACCGCTTTTCTAGTTCCCGCTTCTTCTCCAAAGCCAGTTCCTCCTTTGTCTTTCCCACAGGTTTTTTAATGGCTAGAAAAGAGATGCACCAGGCCTAAGACACTGCACCCTAGTGCTGCCAAGTTCCTTCCATCCCGGGAGCTGACAGGAGCGCACCAAGTATGCACACTACTACCACCTTTGTAACCTGCCCCGAGTGAGACTCTCACAAAGATTGGTGGACCCCATTCATACTCACTGTAGGGCTTCCGCGGTTTCTTTCTAAGGCAAGAAAGGACGTAGCGCTCAAGCTCTCGAAGCGTGGATGGCTTGAGAGTTTCAAAATCAATCTCAATCTCCTCTGGGTTTGAGTCACGTAAGGAGGGCTCCCTGGCTTGGATTATGTGCACAACTCGACCCAGCTTCTCCCCAGGTAATTTATTGATGTCCAGGCTCAACTGACGCTTCTCATCGTAACTCATGGGCCGACTTTCCTCCTCCTCCTCTGAATCGTAGCCTGTAGGCAGGGTTGGTGGGGCTGTCTTTGTGGCCTTTTTGGGTAGTCTACGGACAAAAGAAAATTCTGTTAGAGAAGCATCCTTTAACCCTCTCTGAACAGGTTCCTACTGTTCAATCCAATGATGTCTGTTGTTTTTGTTTGGTGGTATTGCCTACTTCTTTCCCGTTTCCTTTTTTTTCCCAGGTACATGCCCTTGACCAGAATCGAACCTGAGACCCTTCAGTCCGCAGGCCGACGCGCCATCCACTGCGCCAAACCGGTTTCGGCCCGTTTCCTTTCTTAAGCTGTGTCCTGGGTTGGGGATTTTTGTGTGTGGTTACCAAAATAAAGTTTTATTGGAACATATATTCATGTTCATATCTTTATTGCCTATGGCTACTTTTGCACTGTCAGAGCTGAGTAGCTTTGAGAGACCCTGTGGTCCTCAGAGTCTGTCTGTCACCTGGCCACTCACAGGAGAAAACATGTACGGAATGGGAGAATGCATCCTCCTGTTAAACTCACTTGGTGCCACTTCCTCCAGAAGGTCCAAAGCCAGGGGGACCTAGTGTAGCAGCACTGCCAACCCCACTGCCACTTGCTTTCTTGGACTTCTTGGGCTGAGAGAGGCGGGGTGCCCGAGACCCCCTGTCATCTTCATCTACCCCAGCTCGGACTCGATGCTTCTCTGCCTTCCGTTTCTTCTTCTTCTCTTTTTTCTCTCTCTTCCGCTTGGGCTTGGATATTGGGCCTTGGGACAGGGCAGCCAGTTGTTCATGTACTGCCCGAAGCTAGAAAGGAAAAAAGAATCAAGATGTGAAATGAGAAAAACACACCAAGTAGAACAATCTGAAAAGAAGAGAAGAAAAAAAGGGCAAAGACAGGCAAGAATGTCTTAATGAGCTGAACAGGGACAAGTACCTGTTCCTGCAGCTCAGCCAGGCGATGAGCCCGTTCTTCCTCAGAGTCAGAGCTTTCACTCTCTTCTTCCTCTTCCTCCTCCTCCTCCTCAGAAGAGCTCTCACTGCTACTCTCCTCACTAGAGGACTCTGAAGATGATTTGGCCAGGCCAGCAGGCAAGGCAGCAGAGATTGGCAGAGGCCCTGGCTCCAGTGGTTCATCTGGCATCTTGGCATAACGGAACTCAAATACGTCCTAGAAAGAGAGGCCGACTCAAAACCATGCTGGGGGATAGTGCCCTGACTGTACCCAGCCACCTGGTGACACGGCTCCAATTTACAACTGTAAAGATTAAGGGATCCTCATGTTAAGATGGTACAGTGCAGATGACAAAACTCTCTCTCCCCAGACCTAGTCATTCTCCAGACTCCAACCTTGACACTCACCTGTAGCTTTCGTGCCATGGCCACAACATCATGGTCTGGGGGATTGTACTTATAGCAGTTGGAGAACATAAGCCGCACATCAGCAGCAAACTCCTGGGCATCCCGGTAATCCCGATTCTCCATCTTCCGCTGCAGAAGGAGGCAGCATCAGAAGCTGCACAGGCAGGGAGAACTCACCTTTCCCTGCCAACCCGACACCGCAAGAGCAGCCCTCTCGAGAGCATAGTGGGGGTATGACTTTAAGGATCTGTGCCCTGGGGTTCAAATTTGAAGTCAAAGGAATCTGGGTGGGTTGAAGAAATATCTATGTCTAGGAAAAAAATCCTTTCTAAGTAACAGGGGTCAGTGGCCTCTGACTATCCTTCACTCCTTAACTACCCTAACCCAATACCCCCAATAAGCAAGACAAATGAAATATAGTGTGGCTCTGAAGACCCACCATAATACAATTTCAAACTCCAGAAAATAGGGACTCTTATCAAGCACTTGACCAATTGCCACATTACTATTTAGTAAAAGTAAAATACTAAAAAACAAAGATTGCTGTGTTCCCTTAAGGAGGTGATTGAGTTTTTATTGATCCCTAGGCTCCAATCACTGCCTGAGTGTCCCATCTGCCCCATGCAGTGGGTACCTTTACAGTGCTGAGGTCCATGGGGTGTTTAATGATGTCATGGTAATCATGCAGGCCCAGAGCAGAAGCATCCACTGGTTTATAGAAAGGCCAGGCATAGGCAGCATGCTTCTTAGAGAGTAACTCCTTCAAAATTCCATTGCAATGTTTCAACTGTTCTGATAGCTTTCCTTTCTTGGAGCTCTGGTGTTGCTGCTGAGAGTCAGGTAAGTCTTTGCGTGGGGGCTTGATGGGGCGGCCACTCTCTCTGCGCATAGGGGGAAGCCGTGCTGCCTTCGGCTCAAGACCCCCGGGGGGGCTAGCTGGGGAACCAGGAGCCAGGATGGCTGTAGGTGTTGGGGTAGTAGTATCTGCTTTCCGCTTTACCCCCTTTTTCTGCAAAGAAAAACAAGACAGAAACCTTTTACCTCAGGTCCACCTCAATCAAGCTTTCCCTCCCGATTGTCCAAAAGAAATCCATGGATCTATACCTTGGCAAGGGGCTGGGCTGGGGGAGCTGCAGAGACAGCAAGGAGCGGGGGTCCGGCGGAGTGCAAGGACTTGAGAAGGGGAGAAGAGATGACCGATGAGTGGGGAATGTTGAGGACAGTGGTAGGTATCTCGGGAGGTGGAGTATACAAGGCTGTGTGAGATACAGAGGAGATAGCAGGCACCTGGTGGGCACTGGTGATACTGCCCTGGAGTGCTAAAAGAGAAAAAACGGTTAGTGTGGTCATCTTTCCCACCTTTTGGTCTCCCATTAGCAAAACTGCCACTCTTCCTACCTGCCAACTTGGCCCCCTTCTTGTGGCTGTTCTTAGGGATGGTCACCACAAGCTCTTGTTCCTCTTGTGGCATTGATGCCACTTTCTGTAGGAAGATCTTTTCCAGCGTTTGTGCCATCAGGACAATATCATCAGTGGGCTACAGAAAACAAACAAAAAGGTTCAAATATCAGCAAAGTATAGATTACTTTCCTCAAAGGAATTCCTAGCTCCAGGCATCATCACCACTCCTTTGATAGAAGTTTGTCACGGAGTACTAAAAATTACCTACACGGGGCCACTAATTCCCACTTTCTCTCCCAAACCCTGTCCCTCAAAACGCAACCAAGAAAGAAAATTCAGAAATAAGCAAAGTAGATCCTGCTCTTTTCAGATCTCTAGGAATTCCTAACAAACAGGGCCACCACCCAAGTATGAAGTGTAAGAAGAGTGTTCTACTTAAACCTTTAGCAAACCATTTCTGAAGCCACATCACTGGGTGATGATACCCTTTGGAGCTCAGGTTTTCTAGATCCTGACTACTGAGAACACCTTATAGTAAAAGAATTGTGTAGATAAAACTCCAGCAATGAAAACACCGCCTGTCCCCATCTATTAATGAACACATAGAGAAAAACTCACTTTGTTGTAGATGTAACAGTTGGTGAACATGGTATTAAAATCCTGCATACACTCTGAAGCAGCCCAATAATAGTTGTTTTCAAGTCTCCTCTTAATAGTACCCATGTCCATAGGCTGCTTTATAATTTTGTGGTAATCCTAGAAAAACACAAAACAAAAAAAAGTAGGTCAGAGCCACCAAAAAATGCATACCTGTTCTCCTAAGCAAATTACTGATCCCCCAACACACACACAGACACACACGCCCCGTGTCGAAGGAGTACAGTTCCCTAAACTGCGGCCCCAATTAAACTACAGGACAGAAAAAAATGAAATAGGATTCTTAACACCCAGCAGGAGGCCCCTACTGTCTTTCTCTAACCACCCACACCTCCCCCACCCACTCTGCAAGGTTTCCCGTCCTGTGACATTACCTCTGGGGCTGGCTATCCATGGGCTGCATGAGGGAGAGGAAGAAGCTAAGAATTTTGGCCACCGTGGTCCTCTCCCAACCAGGGGTGGGAATCTGTAAAATGGAGCCAGGGCACAAAAGTTAAGGAAGGACACACGGAGGGCACAAAGAGAAATGCCAAGATAGCAAACTGTTGGATCAATGGCAAAGGACCAAAAATTCTGAAATCTGGTGGCTATATGCTCAATGTGGGGGAGATGGGAAATCCCTAGGGGCCGCAGCAACTATACTAGACAACCCCCCCCACTCATACACATTCTTGCTCATTCCCACACCTCCCCACTTCAACTTCTCAACTCACCGGCAGACCCAGTTTGACAGCATCCACAGGCTGCCGGAAGGGCCATGCAAACTGATGTTTCCACAGAGCCTTCATCACCACTTTGTGCAGGTACTGCAGCTGGTTGGTAACCCGTCCTGGCTTTTTGGGATTGGATACCTCCGGGGGTGGTGGGTTGGCAGGGGTCAGTTGTAAAGCTGGCACTGAAGCCATTGTGGGGCTTTCAAATCCCTCATACAACAGGGAGGGCTTTCGAATCCTTTTCCCAGGCGCTGCAGCTTCTGGGCCCAGCCCCAGTAACCCTGCATTCCCCTCCCCAGGGAGCCTGTGAAAATGGGAAACAAGATTAGATGTGGCAAGCTATAGAAACTAGGGAAGAGTGTAATTTACACTACACACCCAATAAATCCACACTTGGGGCCTAGTGAGAGGTAGGCAAACTTGACAACCAGTACTCAAACATCCGAAATTTTGTTCTTGTCCCTCATTCCCATGTTTTTGTTTCCTTATTTCTACCACACCTATTTAGATCCCACCTTCTGGAGTCTGAGAGGCTCTATCATGTTTTTCTAAAATTACTTAGGGAAAAAAAAAGGTCCCCAAATGGTTTCTTGTAGGACATAACTGAGAACCACAGGCTAATGGGGAAGAGACTTAAGTGAAATGGGTGGAGCCTCGAAACTCAAGCTCCAACCCCGAGGACCTCTAGGCCCTAGTGACTAGGGGCTTGATGGTTGCCATGGTGGTCGAGCCTGGGGGAAGCAGGTGGAAAGAGGAAGGGAACAAAAAAGGGAGAATTTCATAAAATGTTGATCAGACAGCTAAGAACCCACAAGGGCAGAAGAGATCAGCATCCTCCACATGCTCTGCATAGTTAACTTCAAAGAGAAAATAGACCCCGGAAATCTAACGGAAAACCATACCAACTTAAAAAAAAAATCAGACAAGGAGCATATTTGTCGGACTTCACAGCCTATAATAATCCGGCTGCCAGCCCCAGGAATTTTTGGCAAATCCAATCTCCTCACTCCAAGGGCCTCAAAATATAGAGCTGCCCAGTCAAGGTCACAAGAGGGATAGACCCTCGCCCCCACCTTGCCAAAAAACAAGATTCCAACAACAGTTCCCACTGGAGCATCAACTCTGGAGATTCAAGGCCAGCAGTGATTCAGGTTTACATTCTCCTTGGTGCTCCTCTGGACCAGGTGTTTTCAGGGCCTACTATTAAGATCACTACCCTGAGATCTTATTGACACCCGAAGACAGCTGGACCGGAATCCTTAGTTCCACCTCCCACCTTGAATGAAACTCAAGGATATCAAAACCGTCCCCACCACCGAACAAAACACTCATCCACCCCAACACAAAACCGACCCAGTTATTGTAAGACAAGCAGGGGTTTAATGATCCAGCCCAGGTACCAAGAACCCACAGGCTAACAATAATCCCTGTCCCTACTCTGGGAATTCCCGTAGCCAGTCCCCGAAGCTGTCACCATGGCAACCCTATAAGGCACTAGTTGTGGCCGCGAACACCTCAAAAGGACTATGACAAACCGTCGCTAAACACAAGGCCCACTACCCGCAGCCCAATCAATGTGGTCCTTCCCCATTACATTCCGCCGCCAACCTAGCTGGGACCGACTCGGTTAAGACTGGGCCACCGCCGGGGAAGTAGCGGAGACACTGACAACCTGTGCTCCCTCCATACGCAGCGGCCGGGACACGACCACGGTTCCAAAACCGTCGCTCAAGTCCCTCCGCGAGCCCCCGAGTCAACAGTCGCGCCGGGGAAGGGCAGCGCGCCCGTCACTTCTGTATGCCCCCTCACCCGACCCCTCACCCCCGTGCCGCGGCCCCCAACGTCCCCGTCCCGCTCGCGACGACGTACTTGTGGGGAGTTACGTTTTGCAGCATCTTGACCGCGGGGAACCGGCGCTGCACTCAGCCGCGGCAAGTCCGGGTGGCCTCGGTTCCCCTCGCCGCCCGGTCCAGCATAACCCGGGAAGTAGGGGGGGCCGCTGCCCTTGCCTTCCAGGCGACAACCCCCCCCCCACCGGGCAGGAAAGAAAGTCTCCTCCGCTGTTTCACCGAAAGCTCCCGGCAGCTTGGCGCGCTCCGCAGGAGGCGGACAGCGAGAAAATGGCGGCGGCCTCAGCAGAGGCGGGCGAGCGAGGGTACTCTTCCAACCCTAGGAAGGCCCCCGATCCCAGACAACGTCGTCAATATTGCCCGCTGTTGATCTGCAAGAATCCCCTCTTCCTGCGGGGACCGTCCGGAGCGGACGAAGTCCCGTTTCAATCTCGATGGAGGCGGATGAACACGGAAAGTGGTTTAAGGAGCCGCCGCCTCCATCTTTGAAATCCTCTTGAGGGCGGAGTAGAGGGGGTGGACAGATTCCGAGGATTGGGCGGGGCCCGAAAAAGGGGAGCTTCGGGGGCTTCTATGGGGTCTGTACTGTCCGCCGGGAACGGTCATAGGCCGAGACGAAGGCCATTTCCAAGCGGATGGACGTGGATTGCAATGGCGGGCCCCGACGACTCGAAAGCTCTGTATCGGTAGGCAGAATCCTCCAGCCCGTTCTAGAGGTTGCTCCACTCCAGCGCGAAATGGCGCCGCCGAGCCCCGCGCCAGCCCTTTATATATAGGCGGAGGGGCGGAGCTTCGCCGCTCATGCGCGCCACCGCGCTCGAGACTTCCCCCACCCCCGGCGCGCGCGCACGCCCGGGAAGAAGTCCAGGCGAAGGGGAAGGAACGCCTCTCCGCGGGAGCATCTTCTATTGGTCCGCTGGAGCGATTACGTCATAAACTTGATTCCCAGAGCTTCTGTCACCAGGCAGAAGACTGCCGCAGAGCCCCTCAGGGAAGCGGCGGCCGCCATGTCGCTGAGCCAATTGGCTGCGCCGAGGGTCGGCGACTCCAGGGGAAGGACGTCGCCGGGGGGCAGCACCCTCTCCCCACCTCCCTCTCCAACAGTCTTCCGAGGCCTCCGGGCCCGGGGCGACCGGCGACCGCCAAGCTGGGGCAGGTCGGGCCATTCGTAGCTCCTCCACAGGCCAGACCCGCAGGACCGGTGGGGCCGCGTGGGCCCCGCCAGCCTCGCCGGCAGGGTGTGGCCGCAGGACGCCGCCGGGGATGGTTCTCCACTGGGAGGCCGCGCAGCGAAGAATCTGAAATGAGGAAGAAGACGCCATCTTAAAGCCACGGCCTGGTACTCGGGCAAACAGCTAAGGGACCCCAACGCAGCGGAGACGGGACCCAGCGTCTCTAGGTCCCACCACGAAAAATACAGGCTTGCCCGAGTCTTAAAATAGCCCCTGCCCTGCCCCAGGTCAGACAACAGAAAGACAAAGGCAAAAAGCTCCCCAAAACTTGTATCAACAAGGTAAAACCTACAATTCGTTCAAAAAGCTTGCACCCCGAGCACATCTCCGACCGCGGCCCACTCCCACTATGAATACGAATACCTGCGGGCTCGACCCGATCTCAGGAGCCCCAAGTGGGGCCAAAACCTGGAAACACACCTACAGACGAAACCCACCTCCTCCCAACCTCATTCCGACGTCTGCTCAGCGGAAAAAGCAAGTCCCGCGAGGGGCGAGTCTCGGGGAGCACCCTCCCGGGCCAGCGCTCGG